TGCTGCTGTTCCTGCAGATGTAAAAGTTTATGACAAGTGAGTATATGACCACAATCAGCCGTATTATTATGACCACCGAAATGGCACACAAGAACATATACAACATTCCTATTTGAGCCACAGAAAATACAGCAGGTCAGAATAAGTCAACTGTGTACTGTTTGCATGTATTTATAGTGTTATATTGTCTGATAATCAGGATGTGCCTTATTAGCATGCTAGTTAATGATAGCATTACTATGACATAGCAAAACTTTAGTCTGGCATCTGGAATTTATGATAAGCAGTTATAAACTCATCACAGTGAATAATTAGGATGCTTGGAATACATAAGTTCAGTGAGGAATAACTTTGAACCACTGCGAACTGTTTACAATGAACCACTGTTTTAAGTAAAAATCAGGTACAGCACCTTTAAAAACATGTATTCTGTTTGCTGTAGATCTGACCAGTAACTTGGTGGTGTTTAATACTATACTTGTATCATTCTAGACAAAGCACTAACATCTCCATGGATACAATGGACCCCCGTGAGAAAAGTTAGAGCACCTTTAACATTTACCTGTGGGTGCTAGAGGAGTTCTCTACTGGGTCAGAGCAGTCACAGGGCTTTGATCAGGACTATCTTTGATGTTAGATACCAAGGACTGCTGACCGAGAACACCTTACAAGAACTGCACTTTTTTATATAGTCTGATCCAGTCCACTGTCACAATGTGTTTCTTTCAACCTTCCTGTTTCACATCCACTTTGAATTAAAAATGTTGCCCACTGGATCCCACCAACTAATAGTCTGACGTGTTTGCATGGGTGGGTATAAAATCTGTAGACTCTCTGCCTGTCTTATGAGACAAAAGTCAAGTTGGGTAAAGATCAACAACATTATTTAAAGTTCAGAAAAGGGCTAAAATAGGTTAGTATTGAGGTTATAGTAATTAAGGTTTAAATCAGTCTTCAGGAAATGAATGTAACTCATTAATGTCCCTAAAAAGCTTGGAAAGCCAGCATGTGTGTGTGTTTTCTTTCAGGGAGATAAAGATGGTGCAGGTGCGACTCTTGTGTGTCCATAAAAAGCTGCGGCTGAAGAGGATGACTCCAGTCCTGATCCGAGAGCTCACCCGACGGGTGAATCAGCAGGGCACCCTTCAGGCGCTCTACACAGCTGACATAGTGCTGCCCACTCCTCTGAGCACCTGCAAGTCAGTAGCACTTATCACATCATCATCATGGAGTCTTTCTATCATGTTTAAGGTACACTCTGTAACTTTTGTCTAGAGGCTTCACCACCTGCTTGTCTCCATGGAGATTATTATTAGGAGATTATTATTATTACTTTGCCTAAATGGTCCCACAGTGGCATTAAACATATCTTACATTGATTCAAATACAAACCATATGCTGAAAAACATGCATATTTACTAGCATGTGGCTTGCCTCTTTGTAGATATGCCACCAAAACTGACCAGGTAACATTGTCTATTTGTCTCCTTAGGAATAAATATGTTGACTCTCATTATCTGAAACATTCTTGGAAAAGCAATACTATTTCCATGGAAACACGCTGGTGTTGGGCCCTACACGAGGAAAGTTACACTGTGCCCCTTTAATATTTTGTTGAGTTTGTTTCATACTGTTTTTTGCTCCTGTGTGTAAAGGTACTGGCATCGTCCCCTGAACCCTCGAAAGCTCATGGACTTGAACTATTCTGGAGTGAAACAGAACATCGGGGTGCAGACAGCTGTCAAAATCAACAAGCTGCCAGATGTAAGCTGCTACTGCCACCTACAGGGACAACCAGTAATGACAGGACAGAGTTACGTTGCAAAAACTTTACTTAAAAATCAGTGGGTCTTATCTGTACTCATTGGACTAAAGAGGCTGCACTAGCTCTGATTAATGATTGGCTGTAGACGCTGGGGTTTAGATAGTGAGGATTCAGATCAAACAGAGCCCCTTTAGGTGTAAACTAACTGGAATTTATTACAGGACCTGCCAACCCAAGTGAATAACAAAATTTAACCATTATGTAAAATGTTTTGCAACTAAGAATAAATCCACATTAGTATTGTTATCAGTAAAACCTGTTTTTAATATTGTCAGAGATTGGTCATGTTTATGAAATTTTAAATACAAATTCTTCATACCTTATATCTTTAACAACATTGTAAACATTTTGTCATTCTTATATTTCCCAGGTCATAAAGACACAAGGCCTGCGTCCGATGACCACAGATGACATTGCAGCTGTTCACTCCCTGCTCCAGTCTAACAAGTCTATGTTTGACCTCAGCACCAGCTTCTCTGTTGAGGAAGTAGAACACTGGCTGCTTCCTAGAGAGAACCTGGTCTACTCTTATGTAATCCAGGTCAGTGATAACGCACCCCTAGAGCACAGGGCAAAGAGAGTGAAAAATCTATTGTCACATATATCTTTTGTTCTAAGGGTGAAGATGGAGGTCTGACAGGTGCGTTTAGTTTCTATGGTCTCAGCTCTAAGGTTCTGAATCACTTCCTGCACACAGAGCTGAGAGAGGCCCAGCTCCTGTTCTGTATATGTTCCTCAGCAGACCCAGTGGAGTTAATGCAAGATGCACTGATCCTGGCTAAAAAGGTAAGCGAGTCCCTATTAGGGTGATCACCTGTCCCTCTTTTGGTTGTCGAACACAGCAACTTCTATCCCCTATGGACTGTATATATAAATGGACATACCTAACCCACTAGCCACCCCGTTCCAAATAGGAAGTAATCATGGACTCTGCTGACTCAGGCTCCAATTGACTTTACACTGAAAAACATCACCCCTCTCACTGTAATTATAGTTACCCTCGTCAATTAGGTCATAAAATGTTCATATTAACCTGCTCTATGTGATCCTGGACCTGCTATTTTGTCCATAAATAAATTCATATTCCTAATACAGAACTCGGCTCCAAATTTGCTCCTTTAACTGCAAGCCTTGTGAGATTCATTTGACTGGAGCTGAATGCTATGGGTGACGTCACAGTCCCTTAGTCGACTTCTTTATACAGACTATGCTCGCCCCACTTACTAGAGAATGTCCCACTTTTTCATTGATGCCATGTGAATTTAAATATTTTTAATCAGGACTTTTTAGGTGCGTGGTACTGAGAGTTGTAACATGCAGAAATCTATTGCTATTCCAATCTCTCTGTGCGTTATGATAGATGGAAACAAAAAAATGATGTGGTGTTGAAGCTATTTTCTATGAGCTTAAATTTCCAGAGTTTGTCCTCTCACGTCCCCCCACATTTAACAATTCTTCTACAGTTTGAGGTTGTCACCCTAGTCTCTAAGTTAAATTTGTAATCATTATAAGTTAGCCCAAGGTTTGACACTGGTTCACTGACAGATGAAGTAGTTGGGTTCACTGTGTATTAATATGATATAGCACTAGGTTATTATTCATAAACTTGTTTCAACTTTTAAATAGGATTTTTGGTCTGCTCTACTTTATAGTAATAGATGAGTTACATTGTAAGTCATAATCTTCTTGGTCCCTTGTGAGAATGAACACTGTTAGAACTAGCCAAATATATTCAGTGAATTTTAGAGCAAAGGGAAGGTGTACTCAAAGCAAAATATATTAAACAAACTCATGAGCATTGTAGAAATACATGTAAAAATGATATAATTATACATGCAGGCTTACTACTAATATAAAGTAGTAAATGAAAACAAATATGTTATTTAATTCAAAACTCAATTGTCCTTTATGTTTGTTGTATTGACAACATTTGGGGGGTTCCCTGCAATGCCTCTGATATCTTCTGGGGCCTTGGACCCCACTTTGACAACCACAGCTCAAGACAATGTCATCATAAACATAAACATTCAATTCTGTGCCACAAGTGACTGTAACAGTGTTCTTCTATTTTACCTCTAACCAACAGAAAGGTTTTGACATCTTCAGGGCCTTAGACGTCATGGACAACAAGAGCTTTTTGGAAAAACTCAAATTCAACATAAGTAGTAATAGTCTTAACTTCTACCTGTACAACTGGCAATGTCCAACCATAAATCCAGACAAGGTAAGCAACACATTTAAGAATATATATTTTTTCTTATCTAAGCCCATTTTTACAGCCTAAACTGTATTTATAATTTACAGGTGGGGTTTGTATTAGCCAGCTAATCTGCCCTTGAAAAGAAGAGATTGCCTGTCATAGCAGAGGATATATAACTTTTATTACAAACAATGCAGAGCCAAATTGAAGTTGAAACCACCAAATAGATTACAGAAATAAAACTGTATGCACTGACAATTTATCATTTTTGTGCCAGTAATTCAGTGAGGGTTTGTTGTGACAGAGATGAATTGTTTGTGATACCATGACAACTAAACCAAGTCATACTGTTGTTATTGTGTTTATTTGTGTGGGTTAGTTATTTTAGGCAACATTATTGTTTCATTATTGTTTGACATTTGGTCATAGTAGTACATACACATTACAGTACTGAGTCCCATATTCACTTATCTATCCCCAATGGCAAATTAGAGTCTTCGCATAAATCTAATTAGAAGAAGGTCATTAATCATTCTTTCACATACTCCCCCATGATAAGCAATATGCATCCATTCACTTAAATTACATTTCTAACATTCTTAAATTTCTTACAGCCGCTTGTCTTGCTTTTTTTCTGTAGGGGTCCACTCTGTACAAAGAAATGTTTTTATTTTGTGCATTTTCTTAGTTTAAGCTGCAGGTGGCATTAAATATTACAATATTTGAGTTTCCATCCATGGATTTTGCACAATGTGATCACATGATGTGGGGTAAATCTGAGGGTAAATCTTATCCTCTAATTTGTTTGATTGTTAAATGTTTAATGTTAATTGAATGATTATGCTATATCATATGATGACATGAAAATATTTATTGTACATTAATGAGTTAAGCATTATTTTTCACTAATACTTATAAATCTTCTTAGGAGCAAAACAAGACAAAAAACAAACAAAATAGCTATCCCTTGAACGTTTTTGGAGCAACCACGTGAGGGCCTTGATTGAAGAACCACTTTTGATTTCTGAAAAAAGGCAGTGGATGTTTAACATGATGGTAGTTCCGCAGATGTGCAACACAGCATGTTCTGTAAGGCTCATTAGTGTTTAATATGAGGTTTAGTTCGACTCTGTCAACATAAACACATCTACTAACAAACCTTAAAAACAAGAGGTCTCAATATCAAGCCTTTCAAATAAATTGCTAACAGAAACTGAGGAGTGTGAACACAATATTTACATGTGATCTTGATTCTTCTTATTCTCTTATTTCTGTAATTTAGTCGTCTACATTTATTTATCTCCATTTTACACATTACCCCCTCACTTGGTGAATTTTCAGGCCCCCAGTGAACTAAATATTTGTAATAACCTCAGTCTATTATAATATCAGAATGCATTTTTTTAAATAAAGACTGATTGAACCGATGCTTTCATAAGAACTGTTATAAAATAAAGATTTAAGACCAAGAGTACAAAAACAGGGAGCTGATTGTAGCCATATAACTGAAAGAGGGTACTGTTCCTTAAGAGAAAAAGAGAAATACTGGTGCTTTGTTAGAAAATATTTAAAACTTTTCATTCTGAGAGGGCAAGTTTGTCAACCTCATCTTCATCAGTGCTTGGTAGGTTGAAGGAAACAGTGTGTCTCCTGTTGTATTTCTTGCCAAAGTGTATACACAAGAGCATTTGAATCTTCTTCAAAGTGTGTGTTTATTTGTTACACATCTGTAGACTTTTGCGTGGGCTGGAAACTAGTACACTTTGAGAGTGTGTCCAGTAGAGGGTGCACTGGTCTGTCTCACTGCTTCCACATTGCTCTGCAGGCATCTGCAGAATCAGAAACAAACATGAGCTACATACAGAATATACCTCCAGCACATGAACAACTGACTGAAACAACCTTCTGCATTCTTCTACTGTGGACCTGTTTTCTTCTCAAGTCCTTCAGTTGTCAGTACATCCTGCTCTGTGTTGGACTGTAGCCTGTTTTTGTCATATACTTTGAATTCTTCCTTGTAGACCCCTGTTCAGTGTCCAGCAGTGGGGGGGCATTGGCCTTCACTCTGAAGAGAGACTTTATATTAGATTTACATACAGTCACAATTGCATTAACATAATATACATTTTCAGTCCTGCTTTAGTTCTGTAATAGACCTGGTTCAATCCTGGTTTAGTTCTGGGTAAGCCCTGGTTTAGTCCTGGTTTAGTTCAAAGTAAGACCTAGTTTAGACCTGGTTTAGTTCTGGGTTAGACCTGGTCCAGCCTTGCTTTAGTTCTGGGTTAGACCTGGTGTAGTTCTGGGTTAGACTTGATTCAGTCCTGGTTTAGTTCTGGATAAGACCTGGTTAAGCCTTGGTTTACTTCTGGTTTAACGTGGTTCAGTCCTGGTTTAGTTCTGGGTAAACCGTGGTTTAGTCCTGGTTTAGTTCAAAGTAAGACCTAATTTAGTCCTGCTTTAGTTCTGGGTTAGATCAGGTTTGGTTTAGTTCTGGGTTACACTATACTCCTGATGTTTACTCCAGATGTCCTGTTTGAGGAACACTTTATTATTACTTTGTTTACATCTCCAAAACTCAAAATGCTCTGTTCCACCTTGTGATGTCATGAAGCGGTAGTTTTCAAGTAAACAGCTACATTTTTTTTTTTTTAACCTTTTGTTCAGTAGAGATCCACATTAGAGATTGAGATTCCAGGACTGAAATCATCCAAAATTATTCTAATGAAGGTGCATGGAGTTTAAAAGCACAGTGGAGCACTTCCTATATTACCACATGACATCACAAGGTGGAACCGAGTTTGAAAGAAGAACTAAGAAGCCTTAATATGAAGTACTTGTGCCTTAAACGTGTGAACGAAACTAAACATAACTCCAGGTATATTATTATATATCCAGGGGTATTTTTACTATCGATGAGTATCTGGTTTTGATACTAATTCTGGGAACCCCGATGCAAAGTATAATGTTGAAAATAAAAACAGCTATTGCAAAATTCTTTAAACTCTCAACTGAGCTACTAAAACTGCACTTTCCCCTAATTTACTGAACTATAAAATATAGAAAATGAGGACAAACAATTAAGTAAAAGTAACATATATCTGCTCATGTGTGATATATCTGCTTCTACGATACAAAAATAGGTGATTTTAAAATAAAATAAAATGTACCAGTTTTTGTTTTTTTTTTGTTTTTTTTGTTTTTACCACCTGCGGTTTTAATCCAGACTCAAATCGGTTTTATCTTTTAGTAATTTGGAGCAGGTGATCCATACTTTTATTTCTACATGTCTTCAAAATTCTACAGCACGTCTTTTAACCGGCATATGTCGTAGGCGGTTGACTGCAGTTTGCATCTGGTGAGCTCATTATAAACAGTTCATTATGTATTTATGAAAATATATATGTTTTTAGGTTATTTTCCAATCCGCAAACATTGAACTCTGGGGACAGACCAAAGCACTTACAGCAAAGGTTCGCTCAAAAGTTATTCAGTTATTAAAGCAATTGATTGATTTTGTTATTTTGAATTGTTTTAGAGTATTATGCTGAGCACAACTTGTTTGTAATTCCTAAGATATGGGACCATTTTGCTTTGTTTCAGCCTTTAAAACCAGGATCCCTCAAATTGGGCTTTTCCACCGGTGTTTTGGCCATCCTCTCGTAATGAAGATCGACGCTCACGATAAGCACTCATTTTGGATACAGTCAAATTTTTCAATGCATTAATGGTCCAGAAAATGTGACATATCAACTATCTCACCGCTCACCGCCGGTAATGTTTTCTTCTTTATGGTAAATGGTCACATTTCTCTATAGCGCTTTTCCACCTTCAAGGCACTCAAAGCGTTTTAACAGTTTGTAATGAAAAATATTGCCCTCTAGGGGGCGTCAGAGATTAAAATATAATGCTACAAAATTAGCCTGAATGGTTTGGTGTGATCAGAAGAAATTAAGCTTTGTAATATTGGAGCGGGTTACTAGACCCATACGTCACAAAAGGCAAGCGAGAATGCTGACATTTGCAACAAAATTAAACCAAGTATACATAAAGTATTCATCACTATTCATCTATTCAGTGTTTGTTACCGGTATTATTACACATCCAATTAGCTATGTAAAACAACATTGCAGTAGCTTCATATGGACATTGGCATATTCCTCCCAAAGTAAAAGACGGGTGAGGCCTTGATGATATGATCATTCTAAAATAATTACATTAAACCCGTCTAAGCTTCCGCAGTCTTTGACCCCAAAACACACTTTACTAGACGCACATGAAAGCAGCATCAGCGCTTCTCGTTTCCAGTCCGGACCAATCAGAAGCGGAGGGGCTTTTTAAGTTTGAAGATCCTGGATCAGCCTACAGTCCGCCTGCTGCTGCTGTACCCGGGCAAAACACAGCCCCGTGCCTCTCCGAAGCCTCATCGGACCACCAGGACTGCAGGCAGGGCGTTTGGCAAGGCATTAGATCATTGTAGTGTTTTACATTTGCTTTTTTCTATCGATAATAACAGCTTTACGCACACACCCCTGACTTTAGCTTCTGCAGTCACGTTAGCATAACCGCAAACTTTGAAAAGCTTCTTCTTTCATAATCGCCTTAATTCTCAACAGCATTGCCAAAACGTTGCCCTATTCGATCTTTTGCAAGACTTGAGAAAGCATCTTCACAAGGATCACAGGTAAGCCTTAACGTATTAACTTACTAAGTGTTAGTGAGTGCGTAATGACAGCGTAATACATTTGAATAGCTTCAAGTCTCTTCAGTAAACACAGGTTTCAGAGCACGAAAATGGTCACCTGTTGTACCGGTAAAGCGTAAGACAAATGCAAAGGGCGTGTGTAATGAATAGTGTCGAAACTTTATTGCGTAAACTTGTGAAATTTCCTTAGTTAACCAACAGATAATGCTGATTTTGCAGTATTAGAACTATAATATCATATTGTGTTGCAAGTTTAGTGTTCATATTATTTCATAGCGCTTGACAAACTGGAATATAATATAGACTTCGCCTATTTCAACAAGCAATGCTAACCACAAACTTTCTGTAAACAGTGACAGGAGAGGAGCAGCTGGGATAGCCCGGTGTGAAAACCACCTGTGAAAACAAAATTGTGAGAAACGCATAGAAAAACACATCTGCTGAATTGGCTGTTACTGTACGTTCTGTTGGTAACATTTGGTGAAGCAGAAAAGTGGGTCAAACCTGGAGGTGACATAGTGTGGAATCAAAGTCATGTTTGCCTGTGCCAGACTGTCCCTGCTATGCAAATACTTGGAGGTAATAGTACACTGAACTTAGCTTTGCGATTTACAGCAATTGACATTACAACAATACTCTCTTAGGCCATTGAGAGCTACAATAGAGCAATGTGTAAAAAGCAACTAAGCCTAGCAAATGATTGTTTAGAAGAGAATTACATGGTTTCAAGGTTTAAGGCTCACTGATCAAAAGCTGGTTGTATATTTTTGCTGAAATATCTTTTCTTTTGTTCTAACATTTTCACTACATTGATTTTATATTTTTAGGGCGCAGTCTGGATTACTTTGCCTAGTCATAAAACAGACTCCATATTAAATTTCTACAGCACTTGTATTGCATTGAATTGAGCTATTCATATCCAACGGCTATAATATTCAGGCTTGTTGCCAGATTGTTATTTTCCCAATTTGAGGCATCTTCCTGGTCTGTGTTACAACAGGCCTTGATAAGTAATCGCCACTATGTCTGTCCGTTTGTCAACAGCTCAACAGGAAAGCACATGTTCAGTACATTTGCATGAGGGCATTGTGTATGATAACATTCAGTAGAACTTTATTTTGTTCCCAGATGAATTTGATAGACAAAAATAGCCACTCACCCAAAACCAATACGTGGAGCATGGTGAATCTGCACGCTGTCTTAACAGGGAGTGGCCCATGACTTGTTTTTTCTTCCTTTTTGCCCAATAACTGTTTTTGGGATTACATAAATGGCAAATAAAAAGACACACTAATTTGAGTCATTTGTTGAATGTAGAATTCACCTGAACACCTCCAGTCGGGGCATGGTGTAGAATTGTCCCTGCAAGATCTGGTTACCCAACAGTACCCACAGGTTAGGCTGTGGCTGCTGCAGAGGCTTGTTTTGAAGCATGCATCAACTCAAATTCATTTATTACTCTAAATCAACTTGTCAATGTGTCATGTGCATATAGATGACTTGAGGTTAGGTTCAGTAGAATGTGTCCATTTGGCTCTTATAGCTAAGGTTTGTAGGACAGATATATCGAGTGAACAGCTACAAAAGAGAAAGTGGTTTCTCAACATGCTTTTTAATTATGTAGGTTGGATCTTGTACCGCAAGATACCACAGTGCATTATAGTATTAGTGTAAATCACAAATAAATTGATGTCTTAAGCTAAGCTTAACTACTATTATTATTTTAATGTGCTTTACTGTGCAGTACAATTTGGCTGCCTCCTTTAAATAAGAATCACTGGTCTTATTCTGATGTACAGTCACCAAAAATCATACTAAATGTTTTACTTGGAAAAAGTGATATGTGTTTACCTTAGCATGCGTCTTCAGAACTGTCACCAGCACTGGTGGTGACATGTCGTATATCAGCTGTTGTTACTTCCTGAAACATGGTCTGCCTGATGGACCTGGCAGGACTCTCAGATTGACCACGCCTGGTCTGTGGAGAAGGGTATCCCAGTTGTGTGGAAGAAAGAATGCTCCTTCCTCACAGCTGATTGTGTCTGTGCCTCATTTTCTGATTTTAATGGCCTCCTTGATATACTGATAAAGAAAACCAGTATAACTATTATAAATGAAAATAAGATGAATGTTAACAAAATTCATTGAGACTATTGCATGTGAAGTCTCACATGGCTCTACCGCAAAACCTTTTAATAGCTAACCTATTCACAAAGGAAATTATTAAAGCTTGGCCCAAATACTGTAATATACTAAACTGAGGAAGAGCTACATAAACACTACTCCACTATTTACATTTGAGCCACAAAAATTGTGCCTGAAGTGGAGGAGGTCAAATGCAGTTCTCTGTCAGGCCTGGTGTCCATTGCACAGCCAAGGAGTCTCCTAGTTCAAATATTTATCTTAAGTCAAGCGAATATGACAAAGTGTGCAATAGTAAGTCCCCAGGGATGAGCACTCAGACCTATCTCCACGAGGACATATTTATAAACACAAATAGCGGTTAGAGTGGAGCCCTTACCAGATTCGACACCAACACACTGGCTGGATATGGTCACTGTCTCTATACAGCCAAACTGTAATGACAACTTTCACCAGTGAAATATGGCACGTCAGCATATGGTTCTACTTGGGACTTTTCTATGATTTGCACTAAGCATGAGAATTTCCATGTGGAGCAGCAGTCCTAAACTCCCTCTCCATTCTACATTTAACTTCAGTTTTGTGCCATTGCGAAATATGGTTTGACAATATTCCAATAGTAAGCACACAATTCAATGAAAAAAAAAATACATATGGTTAGTATGGCCATATTTTAAATGCATTTGAGTACAGGATAAATGACTGAATGGAAATTAAATGTTAAAATCATTTATTGAGGTGGTATTGGATTTTTTTATACAGGATTCCATACCATTGCAGAGGGCCATTACTACTACTTGCTGGTGAAATTCAACAGTTTTTACCACTTAAAGAGCTTAAGGGTGCACTTTTCGGTTGCAGGTCTGTCACCTCCTAAGGATATGTGATTGCTCTGCCTGGAATGTTTCACAGTAAGATATTAAACAGTTTTACCTTACATTTACTCAATTACAATTCAGTTCATTTTTATTTAGGTTTTAGAGCTCAAAAATACTTAGAAAAACAGGTATTCTGACTGAGAAGGGAGGCGTCTCCACAGGTCTGATTTGTAACTTGGTCTGATTTGGTCTCCATGAAGATATAAAGGTTTAATACCATACAGTGAAGCATTTCAGACAAAGTAGTAACATCTCCAAGGAAATAAGTATCTGATGGACAACCCACCATAAAAATCACACAATGCACCTAATTGAAAAATGAAAACTTTATTAAAAATGAAAATACATAAATTTAAATTGTTGGCACAGTGTAATGATGCTGATTTGCTGATTAATTTAAAGTGCATAAAAAACCCTAATGGACAGATTTACCAGTGCTTTACAAAAGGCTGTTAAATTTATGACTAACTTACTGAATGCAGTGCTTCTCCTTTGCTGCTAACTGCTAATGCATTTTCAGCCATTTCCTCTAGTGTTTTTGGAAGTCTGGTGTTTACTACTATCTATCAGTAACTCTCCATCACAGAGCCATAACCCTCCCCCTCCATATTCAACCCCCTGTGCCCTGTAGCATTCCAGATGTCCAGATGGTGTCTGCCCTGCATACTGGACCTCTCAGATCCAACAGGGAGGAAAACCCCAATGAAAGCTCTGCACATCGTCGTTCTGCTTATAGCTCACTATATGTTGTGGTTGACAGGCAGAAAATCACACTGAGATTGGAAATACAAGTCATAGTGTTTAGTGTGCAACTGAAGAATGCTTTCAACAACTTACAACTTGATGCTTATTAAGAGAAGACACGCAGTCGTCTTATTTAAACCACTGCCAGATGTTTTCTCACAATTCAAAGCATACTTGTTATGTTTAATTTATGTAGATGTAATACTAATTTGATGTTTAAGTCATGATTTTGTTCCATATTTGCACCACTTTGATTGCTGTCACATAGGGGTGTACTAGTAAAAAATCAATACACAAACAAAAGCATAGAAAAACTATAGTCAAGTAAACAAATATTTACGAAGCTAGTAATATTTTGGTGTAAAAACAGTTTAGTTTTTTACATTGTGGTATCAAGTAGGACTAGATAGTTGTTGGATTTTACCTGTTGTGCATCTGAAATCTGAACATAAATAGAAAATCTTGAAATTGAACAGCAGTTTTCCATTACCTGCTTGTATACAGTATGCTTTGATTTTTTTTGGACTTGAAGTGCTGCTGTAATGAGCCGATGCTTTGTTGGGACCCATACTGTTGCAGAGGGTGGTAATTGGTGTGAGTTGAGGTGCTTTAACTGTAGCTACCACTGCACATCTGTCCAATAAAAGAGACTGTGTGTTTGTTATTGGCCTGCATTAGCCTGTTAAAGGGCTGCTCTTGTGTACATATGATCGGGGAGTGAGATAAAAACCCTTTTCCTTCACCCTTCCCATTTACACTCTTTACACTCCATGGAACACAGCATTTCTGATCACAAGCCCTTTCAGTCGTATATTTGCTTGTTTGCATTCCCTGTATGTACGTCATATTTAATGGCCCCTTTTGAATTCTGCAAACAGAAAGCAGGAAGGGCCAGACAAAGAGTGGCCTGTAGGTTGGACAAAAAATAGAAAACATTGACATGCTTCGCTGTGTTAAATCCTGATTGAGTTTTGAGGTTGGTGTAAAAGGAAGTTGTATGGAATTACTACAATGGTTGGCCCCTCCCTGAGCTGGTCTGTTCAGCTTTTACAGTGTAGGTTACTAAGGCAGAGCAGACTGTGGGCTTGAGCACCCGGGGGCCTTTGTGTCAACTGCATTACGGGTGAGTGGTTGGAGTCAGCAGGACTTCTGGTAAAAAGGGATTTGGGTGAGTCTATGTCTGGGGCAGAGAGGAGGTGGATTAGCCCCTCCCTT